TCGCCAGCATAAATGCGTAATTATTTTTTTTACAGAAAAAGTAATTTTACACCTTTGATTGAGTAACGCGTCGTAGAATGCAGATACGGGCATGCAAAATACACTTGTGAAAAGCTTGAAGTCTGGCGATTCTAAAAATATATACTTTCCCGGGTCTATTTGTAGTCATTTAGTCACAATTAGAAGATGAAAACAAGTATGCAAATAATAGTCCAGCTACCTTAAATCTTGTGGTTGTTCACAAATTACAAGTAGAATACAATTACCTTTTCTGATGATAAGTTTGTGAGTAGCGCATAGTAGAATCTTGCTCTGTCTCTGATGTCTATATCATTGTATTTTGTAAATAATAAATGAAGTAAATTACCAAGCTCTGCAATTTAGTTGAGTAGAAAAGAAACTTAGAACTGATTTTGAAATGAATATTATGTTGTCAGCATTAATCTTCAGATTTCATGATTGAATATAAGAAATAGCTGGAAAATCAGAATGGGTGATTAGACAGATATTTCCCCAAGTTAAGCAATGTTAAAAATTTATAATTTATTTTTTTCACAGTAATGCATCAAAGGTTTGCTACATCACCCTAGCAAATACTCAAATGATAGATAACAGACACCGGACATACCAATCACCTGATGTGCCAGGTCATCCAATGTACCAAGTCAAGTGATGTGCCAGCTATGTCATTTGATGTATCAAGTCATCTAATGTGACAGGTCATATGATGTACCAAGTCACCTGATGTGCCAAGTCTTCCAATGTACCAAGTGATGAGATGTGCCAGCTACGTCATTTGATGTACCAAGTCACCTGATGTGCCAGGTCATCCAATGTACCAGGTCACCTGATGTGCCAGGTCATCCAATGTACCAAGTCACCTGATGTGCCAGATCATATGATGTGCCAAGTCACCTGATGTGCCAGGTCATTTGATGTACCAAGTCACTTGATGTGCCAGGTCATCCAATGTACCAAGTCACCTGATGTGCCAGGTCATCTAATGTACCAAGTCACCTGATGTGCCAAGTCACCTGATGTGCCAAGTCACCTGATGTGCCAAGTCACCTGACGTGCCAAGTCACCTGACGTGCCAAGTCACCTGACGTGCCAAGTCACCTGACGTGCCAAGTCACCTGATGTGCCAAGTCACCTGATGTGCCAGGTCATTTGATGTGCCAGGTTATATGTACCAAGTCACCTGGTCATTTTTTTTTACAATGTTGCATCAAAGCTTGCCTACATCACCCTAGCAAATACTCAAATGATAGATAACAGACACCTGACATACCAAGTCACCTGATGTGCCTGGTCATCCAATATACCAAGTTACATGATGTGCCAGGTACGTCATTTTATGTACCAAGTCATCTGATGTGCCAGGTCATCCAATGTACTAAGTCACCTTTTGTGCCAGCTACGTCATTTGATGTACCAGGTCACCTGATGTGCCAGCTCATCCAATGTACCAAGTAACCTGATGTGCAAGGTCATTCGGAGTACCAAGTCACCTGATGTGCCAGGTCATCCAATGTACCAAGTCACCTGATGTGCCAAGTCACTTGTAGTACCAAGTCACCTGATGTGCCAAGCCATTTGATGTACCAAATCACCTTATGTGTCAGCTAGGTCATCCAATGTACCAAGTCACCTGATGTGTCAGCTAGGTCATTTGATGTCACCTGATGTGCCAACTAGGTCATCCAATGTACCAAGTCACTTGATGTGCCAGCTAGGTCATCCAATGTACGAAGTCACCTGATGTGCCAGGTTAACCAATGTACCAAGTCACCTGATGTGCAGGTCATCCAATGTACCAAGTCACCTGATGTGCCAAGCCATTTGATGTACCAAATCACCTTATGTGTCAGCTAGGTCATCCAATGTACCAAGTCACCTGATGTGTCAGCTAGGTCATCCAATGTACCAAGTCACCTGATGTGTCAGCTAGGTCATTTGATGTACCAAGTCACCTGATGTGTCAGCTAGGTCATTTGATGTACCAACTAGGTCATCCAATGTACCAAGTCACCTGATGTGCCAGGTTATCCAATGTACCAAGCCACTTGATGTGCCAGCTAGGTCATTTGATGTACCAAGTCACCTGATGTGCCAACTAGGTCATCCAATGTACCAAGTCACCTGATGTTCCAGCTATGTCATTTGATGTGCTTGGTCATCCAATGTACCAAGTCATTTGTTGTACCAAGTCACTTTATGTGCCAAGGCCATCTCATGAGCCAAGGCCATCAGATGAGCCAAAGGTCATCTGATGTGCCAAGGTCATCCGATGAGCCAAGACACCCGAAGACCAAAGACATCCAAAGAGCCAAAGACACCCGAAGAGCCAAAGACACCCGAAGAGCCAAAGACACCCAAAGAGCCAAAGACACCCAAAGAGCCAAAGACACCCAAAGAGCCAAAGACACCCAAAGAGCCAAAGACACCCAAAGAGCCAAAGACACCCAAAGAGCCAAAGACACCCAAAGAGCCAAAGACACCCAAAGAGCCAAAGACACCCAAAGAGCCAAAGACACCCAAAGAGTCAAGGACATCTGGTGCTCCAAGGCCATCCAATGTGCAAGGTCATCCGGTGTGCCAAGGTCATTCGGTGTGCCAAGGTCATCCGGTGTGCCAAGGTCATCCGATGTGCCAAGGTCATCCGGTGTGCCAAGGTCATCCGATGTGCCAAGGTCATCCGATGTGCCAAGGTCATCCGATGTACCAAGGTCATCAGATGTTCCAGGGTCATCCGTGTGTACCAGGGTCATCCGATGTGCCAGGGTCAT